CAACCCCTTAAAATGGGAAAAGGGGCTGGAGGAGTGAAGATGCCTGAAAAACTCGAAGAAACTCCATCAAGAGAAGCCCCGTCAGAAGGAAATCAGAGTAGGTGAGGTCAACAAAAGGGGAAATCTCAAACTAGTCAAATCATGACTCCTCACGTAACTTGTGGATACTGTGGCAAGATTAACCACACTGAGGCCGAGTGCTGGAGAAAGTAAGGAAAATGTCTGAGGTGCGTCACAATTCTGCCCATACAATCCTTGGCTCTTATTGAATGTTATTAAACTTCCATCCTCTAGTAGACTTTGTTTCTGAACTGTCCATATATTGTCCCCTTTTCTACTATTTATATAGTCACTATCTAGATGAGACTTAAAACAAATGATTCACTTTATTCTTTGGTGATTCCTTAACTAATTTTCCTTGTTTTAAATTTTTCTATCATCTACTAATAACTTTACTACTTTATTGCAGATATATTGCTCATTTTAAAGGCTTGGAAGAAGATGAGCAGTACGGCTTGCATGTTGACTCAAAAACTGTGGTTATAGTTCTATCTTAAGTTTAGAAAATGTTTCGGTAGCACAGAAAATGTTTTGGGACTTGGAATTTTTTTTAGTGCAGCCTTGACTTATATGGCAACATTTTCTCTACTGAAACTTATCAAACTATTTGCAGTACGATGTTGCACTTATTTATGATATTTGAATATTTAATATGTTATTCAGTCATTTCCTATTGTAACGGGTGCCTACGTTTGTTATTTATTAAACATTGCCAATGTTTTCATTTTTTAGATATTATTGTAGTAGGAAAATCATCAAACTACACGTCGCAAGGTGTTGTAAATGAGTAGCATTTCTCCAAGCAAGCTGTCTTTATTGACAATTGTTGTTGTCACTCAATCAAAATTATCCATTGATAAGAAGTTGTTGCCACAGTTGATAAGGGGTTAATTGACAACAAAGTTGTCACTAATTAGTATATACATTGACTACGTTGCTTCATGCATCATTGACAAGAAAGCATGTTGTCACTAAATTTATAGCTTTTATTGACGACATATCTTGTCATAAAAAAGTTTCTATTCACTGAACTCGCATGACTTGTTGCTTAACTGATTTACTTGTACTTGCAATTTGTGACATGAATGACTGTAACATCTGTTTATTCTGGACGAGACGAGGGTGTACTTTATCACACTCGTCTCTCTTGCTTATTTGACTGGTCACTGTATAAATTTGGATATGTTACTTGTGCATGATTTGATGTCGTTTGGAGGCTTGTATCCAACGACCTTACTGTGAAATTTGAGATCAACCTCATTGGTAGTTGATCGAATCGAGTCAGCAAGGGGCTTGGTCGAGGTAGAATGACGAACCATGAGGACACTGTTACTGATTATCTGAATACTGAAACCCTCTGATATTTGGTATACTTGAGTATTACTACCTCTGTTTTTGTTTAGTGTTCGGGCCTGGTAAAGGGTATGTTTGGTGGATGAAATTTAGTGTAAAGTGGGGTCTACGGTCCTGGTTATTTCTCTAAATGTTGACGGAGAGTTAACGAGTTTGGATTAAGTACTACAACAGGAATTTGGCTCTTGAGAGCCATCTGTATCCTTGCTTTGTGAATTACTATGTTCAATTGAGGTGTTTGTTCATCTCCCTATTTGGTGTTTATATTTGATTGATTCAAAGTGGAGTTCCATGATTCTTGACTGCTTGAACTTTTGGTACCTCATTGAGCGAAAGCTCACCCCCGTTACCTTTGTTTTACTTACAGGGGACAATATTTTGGAACCGTGATTTTGGAGAAAAGAGTAAAGCTAGTTATAGATATTCTTTTGATTAAGCTCCTCTGTAATAGTAAACCCTAAGGGTACTTTGATACCTTATGGCTATTCTGACTTGTACTTCAAGTTAACTTGTTGTAAACTCCAATGTATATATTTATGCAAGTGCATGGTTACGTATATTAGTTGAAATGCATGTATCTATGGCTATGCGTACTTTTCTTGTATCCGTTGGAAGGTTTATCGAAGTTCTATTGCGCGTTCGGTAGGGTATATGTGTGTTTTGGCATAGTAGTCCTGGTGAGAGTTGGACAGGCAATTCGCTAACCCTTGGGGTACGCCCTAGGGGAAGGTGGGGCTGTCACACTCTGAATTTCATCTATGCATTTGGGATTTCTAAGAATTTTATATACTTTTAAAATGTCAAGATTTCTTGGTTATTTGTGATTAACTCACTGATATAATTACTCATTTGAAAAAATTCATATTTTAAATGTGAATTGTGAAAATGCACCAACTATCCTTTTTCATTTTTCCATAATCATTAATAGTTGGGATAGCATCACATTTACACAATCATAAGAATGGTGTTTTTTTGCTTAAAGAAAAGGGGAAAAGTTGGCTAAATTACATTTAAAAACAATACTAAAGGATAAGTCCAATAAAGGAAAATTTTCTTTTGAACAAATAAAGAAAATGAAAAAAAATTAAATGGGCAAAAATTGTATAAATTACTTTAAACAAAAAAAAAAGAAGAAGGAATAGCATATGTGAAGATTATGTGAGTGTATGTAGATTGCTATTACAATGGAATACTTAAGGAAGTTTAGGTGATAATTAGTCATTGGGTGCCTAAAAAACTCCAAATCAGTATCATCCTGATGTACTTTAAACTCCTTTAGTAATTTGGTTATTAGAAAATAAATTTGCTCAAGGAATAATTATAAAGCCTTTTCTATTTTTTTTTTGGTAGGTGGGAGGTCTTAGGATATAAATTTGCTCAAGGAATAATTATAAAGTCTTTTCTATTTTTTTTGATAAGTGGGAGGTTTTGAATCTAAAACCTCTCACTTGCACTTTCGCCTCCTATAAAGTTCTTTCTACTTAGGTAATTGGATTTAGAATTCAGCCCAGAATTTTGAAACTTTCAAGGTCGGGGCATGACTATTTAACAGTTCAAGATAAGTTAATATCATTTCTCGTTATTTTTGGGATCACGAACTAATATGGAAGCGGAGGCCATGGCGTTACTGGAAGGTCTGCAACTCTCCGCTAGATTTCACTCTGTTATTCTTGGTTTTGATGATCACAAAGTAATTTGAAATGTTTATACTAACCAAGAAAGTGAACACTTTGATCAGGTCTGATGGAACAAAGAAAGCATATGTTCGTTTATCTCCTGACTACGTTGCTTTGGATGTGGCAAACAAGATTGGAATAAAATGAATGAATTTAGTCATTGTTTTGTTCCAATCAAAGATACTGTCCTTTAAGTATGACAATTTTTCTATTCTTGGTATTTTGAAATGTATCTAACCTTCTTCAATTATAAGTGTCTTTACATATCAAAGAATCAGGTATGAATAGGTCATGAAATGCATTTCAACCAAAAGAAGAAGCAAAAACAGGATACTCACGTCGGACGGCCGAAAGGAATCTGTCGGACGTCCGAAAGGATAAAGAGCATCAAGAAGGAAGCTCTGTCGGACGCTCGTGAGGAAGCATCGGACGTCCGGAAGGATCGGACGCTTGCCATCGGACGCTCATCAACCGCATCGGACGTCCGAAAAATTCCAAGCTGACTTGCCAACTCTCTGCCTACGATCGGACGCTGCGGTGTCGGACGATCAAGACGCATCGGACGTCCGAACGTCAACTTGGATGCCATCGGACGATTGGTTCGGACGATGATTTGATCGTCGGACGTCCGACAGCCCCAACGGCTAGTTGACTCTTCAGCTGCCTTCTATCCGTTGGAAGCATTGATGAAGCCCATTTCTGGTTCCCTTTAAAATCAAACTGGTCTGAACGAAGTAGGAACTTTTGGCACACTTTGTTTACAAGATCTAGTGAGATATTTTAGCCAGAAAATAGTCTCAAAAGCAGATTTGTTTTAAAGTGGTGTGAATTTCTGTTGAGCATTTCTTTTGTGGTTGAAAGGATCTTTAGTGTAGCTTTGTTGAGGGTTTTCTGAGTGATTGTAAAACTTCCTAGCTTGACTAAGTGAGGCTTAGGGCAAGGAGGAAGTGCTCCCTCCATTGTACATCTAGTTGATCTTCGTTCATCAAAGAGAAGTTGCTCTTCCTAGTGTTTGGTCTTCAAGTTTGGGTAAAGCTTGGTAGACACTTGGTTTGTTTCTCTATTTTACATTTCTGTTTAATAAAATCTTCATTGCTTATCTAAACTTGCTTCTCTGATCAATATTGCTATTGTCTTCTAATCTACTTGGTTGATCATTACTAAAAAGGAAGGTAAATTTTCATTGAAGAAAAAGTGCATAAACTTGGTTAAGATTTTAATCAAACCAATTCACCCCCCCTCTTGGTTGTCTGTGGGACTTACACACTCCCTGCAAGTTGAAATGGACTCTCAGGTATTGCTGAATATGGTGACTGGCAACGGAAGAGTACCTTGGAGGTTATGGCATACTATCTCGCATATCCAATCTTTAGTGCTGGACCGCCAGGTCAACTTCACTCATGTCCACAGAGAAGCAAATGCAGTTGCAGATGGCCTGGCACGCCTGGCATGCTCCACACGTGTCAGCCACAGTTTCCCTCCCTCCCCAGTTCCCGATGTTAGGATCCTATTTGCATAATTGAGGAATTTGGGAGAAAATCAAGCTCGGATGAGCTTGATGAGAAGAAATTGCAGAGGGGAGCGTGTGAAGAAGGAGAAAGAAAGAGAAAAAAGAGAGAGAGAGAGAGGAGAGGGAAAATTCAGTTAATATCTTTCTTACATGGATCCTTGGCCCAATCATATTTATACAAGTCGGATGAAATAACTTCCACGTAACTAATTCTGTTATGGAGCATGTGCTCCTACAACGACTCAACTAATTGGCTAAACGACATCGTCCCACTAAATGATTAGCTAAACGACACCATGTTACTTATTCTTATATGCTACTTAGTTGCATCAAAACGTTATCGTCACAGTGTTAATTCCTGCTACCCTGACATTGCCTCCCCCAAAGATTAAGTCTTGTCCTCAAGACTGGAAATGAGGAAACTGGGATAGGATGAAATCCTTATCTTCCCAAGATGCTTCTTCCGCTCCCAATTGGCACCATTTGATTAAAAGCTGAATGACTGGTTGTCCATTGCACAGAATTACTCTTCTTTGCAACATAGCTTCTGGTTGTAGGGGACATTGGTCAGCATTGTCAAATTCAGGCAAAGTCTTTGATACCTGTTGTACTAGTCCAATCTTTTTCTTCGGCAATGACACATGGAAGACAGGGTGGATTCTGGCTTCTGCAGGCAATTTGAGGCGGTAGGCCACCGGTCCTACCTTAGCTTCCACCTGAAAAGGGCCATAGAACCTGGCAGCCAGTTTAAGGCATTTCCTGATGGAAATAGTCTGCTGTCTGTAGGGCTACAACTTGAGGAATGCCCAGGCACCTACTTCAAAAGATCGTTCTGTGCGATGCTGATTAGCAAAGAACTTCATCCTCTGTTGAGCCTTAGCCAAGTGGTCTCGAATGCTGCTGGAAATTCTGATCCTCTCTTGAAGAAGTTGGGCTGCTGCAGGAACTATTGTGTCTAAGTAAGGGCCAAGTGGGAGGGACACAGGTTTATAGCCGTACAATGCCTCAAATGGAGTCAACTGCAGGCTAGAGTGGAAAGAAGAATTATACCACCACTCTGCCATTGCCAGCCATTTACTCCAAAGTTTTGGAAATTCCCCAGTCATACATCTGAGATAAGCCTCAACACACTGATTCAGCCTCTCAGTTTGGCCGTCAGACTGAGGATGTTAAGCTAAACTATAATGCAGACCAGTTCCTAATAATTTGAACAACTCCTTTCAACACCTGTATGGTATCATAGCGCTGAGAGTTTGGTAGACTTTCAATAAAATCCATGGTCAGATGTGTCCATGCCATTCGAGGAACAGGTAATGGTTACAGTAGACCAGGAGCATGTACATGTTCTGCCTTATACCTTTGGCAAGTGTCACAGGACTGTATAAATTGAATAACATTTTGTTTCATGGTAGGCCAATAGAATAGGGATTTGATTCTTTGCCAACACCCCCTTTGGCCTGAGTGCCCTCCTAAGGCAGAAGAGTGCAAGGCTTGTATGATCTTGTCCCTGAGGCCAGAAGATGATCCCACATAAATCCTACCATCATACTTTAGTAGATCATTATTCCACTCATACTTGGGCTGAGATGTGGGGTCTAATAGTATCAGAGCAATAATATCCCTGCAATGCTCATCTGATGAATAGCTATCCTGGAGTTCTTGCATCCAATTTGGCTTAACTGTCGACAATGCTAGACATGATCCTGTAGCAGCAGGATCATCCTATCTTCCCTCATATAATCTGGACAAAGCATCTGCCACCTTATTCTCCACCCCTTTCTTATACTGAATCTCATAGTCTAGGCCTAGCAACTTAGTTTGCCACTTGTGCTGTAGTGTAGTTATGAGCCTCTGATCCAACAGATATTTTACAGACCGGTGATCAGTCTTGATAACAAAATGGTATCCCACCAAGTAGCGCCTCCACTTGGTTACTGCCATAACCAAAGCCAACAATTCCTTTTCATAGGCTGACAGTCCCATATTCTTTGGAGACAAGGCCTTGCTCAAATAGGCTATGGGATGTCCCTCCTGCATCAGTACGGCTCCAATCCCACCTCCACTTGCATCTATTTCAACAATGAAAGACTTCTGGAAATTTGGTAGCCTTAAGACAGGAGCAGTGCACATTATGTTTTCCAAAGTTAAGAAAGCCTCCTGGGCACTTGCATTCCATGTAAAATTGTCCTTTTTGAGTAGTTCAGTCAGGGGCTTGTAAATAATCCCATAATATTTGATAAACCTCCTATAATAGCCTGTCAATCCCAGGAATCGCCTCAGCTCCTTCACTGTTCTTGGAATTGGCCATTTCATAATACTGTCAATTTTTTATCTGTCAATAGACACTCCTTCTTCTGTTATAGTGTGGCCCAGGTAGTCTACTATCTGCTGGGCAAATGAACACTTGGAACGCTTGCCAAACAACTTATGCTCCCTTAGGACTGATAAAACTGTTTTCAGATGCTACAAGTGCAATTCTAAGGTAGAACTGTAGACCAAAATATCATCAAAGAAGACAAGAACAAATTTCCTCAGATATGGCTGAAATACTTGGTTCATGAGAGCCTGAAACGTGGCTGGAGCATTGGTGAGCCCAAAAGGCATCACCAGAAACTCATAGTGGCCACAGTGAGTTTGAAAAGCAGTTTTGTTTGTGTCTTTGGGTTTAACTCTGATTTGGTGATAACCAGAGGTGAGATCCAGTTTGGTCTTGTATTTGGGCCCTGCCAGTTCATCTAGCAGCTCATCCACATTGGGTATGGGGTACCTATCCTTGATAGTCATCTCATTCAACCTTCTGTAATCTACACAGAAACGCCAAGTTCCTTCCTTCTTTTTCACCAGCAAAATTGGTGAGGCAAATGGACTGTTACTGTGAGTTATTATACCATGCTGCAGCATGTCCTCAACTTGCTGTTCTATTTCTCCCTTCTAAGAGTGAGGATATCTATAGGGCTTCATCTTGAAGGGTTGAGAGTCAGGCTTGAGTGGAATCTCATGGTCTACTGCTCTTGCTGGGGGCAGCTCAGTAAGGGTTGCAAACACATCTGCAAACTCATTAAGGATATCCTGAACTCCTGCAGGAACAACAGTTTCTGTACTCATGTCACCTTGCCCTATCCTTATGTTCATGCATAACTGCCTTTTATACTCAATGAATGTCCTCAGGTCATTTCCTCTAATAAGGTCTAAATCACAATCTTCAGCTTGTCCTTGCAAGTGTACAGCCTCCCCTTGATTTTGCAAGGATATAGTCAACTTGTGAAAATCAAACGTTATAGGACTGAATTGAGTCATCCAGTCAACTCCCAGTATTATGTCCCAGCAACTTAAATCCATCACCTTGAGGTCATAGCAGAACTTGTGTTGGTTGATCCCCCACACTACCTTAGGACATATTGCTTTACTAGTTACACAAGCCCCATTCCCCACGATCACAAAAAAAGGTTTAACCAGTTGATAGGGGATGTCAAATGCAATTACCTTCTCACTGCCGATGTAGCTGTCAGAACTGCCTGTGTCTACTAGTATCAGCATTTCCTCTCCATCCAACCTCCCTACCAGTGTGATTGTTTTTCTCTTAAGTGCATTAGACAAGGTGTGCAAGGACATCTCCATGATCTGTCCAGGATTACCTGTGTTCTCCTCTTGTTCTCCCACTGCATCTTCGAAGTTAGATTCCTCCTCTTCCTCATTGATCAAGAAGTTTAAGTGGCCAAGCTTACACTGGTGACCTTGGCCGTACTTTTCTCCACATTTGAAACAGAGGCCATGGTTCCTCATGCACTGTATCTCTTGTGCTGAGATTCTCCTGGAATCTAAATCAGTGGTTGACACAGGCCTCCCTTTGAAGTGAGTATTTTTAAATGACTTTACTGGAGATATTCTGTAATGTGAATTGTGATTTAATTGTTGAGGGGCATTTCTGGAAATTCCAAATCTATTTTCAGAGTTTACTTTCATATTCTCCTTAGGCGTTCTGCTCTGGAGTCTCAGTGCATTCTCCTGTAATATGGCCAATTCAAAGGCCTCCGACAAGGATGTAGGCCTTAACATCTTAATCATAGTTTTGACTTCATCTTTTAGTCCACTAATGAAACTTGATATGAAATAGGCCTCACTCAGATGAGGATTCTTTACTGTCATCAGAACCTTTAGCTCCTCAAACTTTTCTTGATATTCTTCGACCTTCCCTGTCTGGTGCAATTTATTGAATTCTTCCACAACATCTTTCCCTGCCAAATTATCAAACCTCTTGCACACCAGTTCTTCAAACATCTCCCATGTTATCTCAGGTCTCTCCGCCTTCACCCTGTGGAACCACCTGTCTGCCCTCCCTTCTAAATATATCTCAATCACTTCAACCTTCTGTTCTTCAGGAATTTGGTAGTCCCAGCAATACTTATCGCATTTTCTGAGCCACTCTCTAGGATTGTCTCCAGAGAATAGTGGCAAGTCAATTTTGGGGGGATTTGGAATCAGGACCTTGCTTGCCTCCTTCCTTCCATTCCTGCCCCCTTCAACTCCCATTTGTAGTCTCTGTCTGGGAGGCAGTGTCGGCAGTAGTGGTAATTGATCTGTGACGCCCCTATTTCTCTCAAGGACGTACCCAAGGGTATCGGCAGGGCGCCTGCCTAGGTCTCGCCAGGATTCAGGTCTATTCATACCTAAACTAACGAGCAATTAATGGCTAAATGAGGCAAATTAAATAAAATTCATTTCCTCCAATATATTCAAACTTACAACACAAGAATCCGACATATATATTCAGATTTTCAAAATACAAGTCCATAACCAGCCCTTAAATTTCATTTCCAAAGTTCTAAGATATCAAAAAACAAGTCGATCTCTTCAAAACATCTCCAATCCAGATTCCTGTTAAGGAAAACAGCTAATGGGGTGAGCAATCGCTCAGTGAGACCAAAAAAAAATAAACTAAAATAAAACATGCGCACGTAGTTCAAGTAACATGATCAAGTGATCAAAAGTAATTGTCATGTAGTTTCAAGTATTGGCAAGTACTCATAAACACAAACAATTCAAGGATACTGGAGCTCTCCGGAGCTCATTTCCGAATTATTTGCCATAGTCCCGATCCACGAACCAGGGGTTGACACTCCGTCAATCGAATAAATATCCAATCTGTAGATCTCCACTTACTTCCCTCCATCCATCATTTCACCATCTCGGATCCATAACCAACAGGCATGTAAAGGCGATACTATACAAGTATGCCAAGCAAGATCTCAAAAGATCAAGCTTCCGGTCCCAAGGTTTATCAAGCTTTCCCGACCAAGACCTCACGATTGGCTGCGAGATTACGAGGTTTAACCATTGGGTTTGGGCGTCCCCACAGGTCAGGTTTTCAAAAGAAATCAAGTTTTAGTCGATGAGATTTTCTCTGCATTCGACTTCAGGTCATGTACATGTAAAATCCGGTAATTTCATATAATTCATGTAGCAAGTCATGTATTGATCCAAGTAAAGGAGATGAAGTGCGGTAAAGTACACACTTCTCTCAACAAGTATAGTTCATGTAACAACAAGTTCAAGTAGAGTTCATGTAGGCAACAAATCTCAAGTGAAGTGCAAGTAAACATGCACTTGACACTCACCAAGTATCAAAAGTCAAAGATTGTCCTCTTGAGATCCTGAAAGTATGCAATAATGCATTGTATCTCAAATTCCAGGCCATACAGTATTCGTGTAAAGAAAAGAAATAGTCAATTTTGACTCCAAAATTCAAGTTTCCAAAGTATTTCAGTTCATAAGGAACCGACTTTCAAATGAGTTCTCAAGTGATAGGTGAACTCAAGTTCACCATGAAAATAGGTTTGAAATGCTCTAAGAGTTGTAAAAATGTAACATAGGCCCTTAAAAGAACATTTAGGTCCAAATTAGAAATTTTCACTTTTCGAGTCATTCTTGGAAAAATCAGTTAAGAAGTTCGGAAAGTCTAAAAATGGAAAATTTTACACCGTCAGAAACTTCATTCGAAGCATAACAACTTTGTAGAAGGTCACTTTCCAAGAATAAAATCAAAAACAAGTCAATTTCTCCAAGAAAGTTTACTATTCATTGAAGATAGGTCAAAACAGTCCAAGTTTTTCCAATAACTTTGGAATTTTGCCAAAAATTATAGAATCAAAACCAGCCTTTGAAATTTGATATGCATGTAAATTTCCAATCCAGGTTTCAAATTAAAAAAAACGGAACTCGATTCCGATGTTTCTAGCTCAAGAAATAAAAAGTTGAAGTTCGTTAAAATTCCTGGACTTCCGTATCTCACTCGATTCTCAGTGAAATTGAAAACGGTTGGTGGTGTTAGAAACTAGGTTCACAAGGATATATTTATGTAGAAGAAATCATTTCCAAAATCCAGACATAAGCGGTTCAAAATCAAGCAACAAAATGGATTTTCTGGACAGTCTCGGATGAACAGTAATAAACAGGCAGCCAATTTTCAAAACTCGCCACGAATCGCTCGGGACGAACTAGAAAATTAGCTTGGTACCATTTTAAAGCTCTAAGAGTCTACTTTCAAATTCCGGAAACGGCACTCAATTTCGATCATCGAGAAAAACGTTATGATCTCCACAAGATCACTAGTCAGAAAATTTCTGGACCTAGTCCAGTTTTGCCTCTTTGCTCATAACTCAAAATTTATCCAACCAAATTGGCTAATTTAAAAATTTTTTTTTAGACAACCACCACACACATAACACAACATATATCACTCACATTTGTAGCCAAATTATACATGAAAATATCAAAGCAAAACAGGGCAGCAAGTCCTTGAAATTTCGGACAGCACCTTCTCCAAATTTCTAACTTTCTTCCAACTTCATTCCATCAATCATTCTATATACATGTAACATAGCACAATATCAGCAACCACAACATGTTAATTCATCAAATCAGCCACCAATAAGCATCCTCAAGCCGTCCAGCATGTCATGAAATTGCAATAAAATAATTACTCAACCAATCAACCAAAATTCTGCCATAGGTTGCAAACCCATGCTACCTTTGCTCCATTTGAGCTATAATTTTACAAGATTGAAGTGTGGGTGAGTGAGTTACCTCAAGAACTTAGTTGGACAGCTTTAGGGCAGAAATTTTGACCGAAATTCCTCCAAGAAAACCGATGAACAGCCCCCTCTTCCAAGCTAGGATCAAAGCCCTCTAATGGATGATGAAATTTGGAAGTGGATTGAAGTAATTTTGTAAGGATTTTAGCTAGATTTTTCTTCCCTTTTTTTCTTCCTATTTTCGGCCAAACAGAGAGAGTGAAGAGAGGAGAGAGAGTGCAATCAGATTTTGTAATGAAAGTGGAGAATATTGGTGACTTAATGGTTAAGTCTAAGTGTCAACTCATGCTAGGTCCGTTTAGGGTCTTCGCGTGTCCAATTTTCGCGCTCGTTTGCAACTTTTGTGCACTAAACCTCTAAGGTAATTTCCCTAGTACATTAATAGTACATTACTAGTAGTCTAAAATTTGGGCATTAAAATAATATTTGCTTAAAGAACCAATCGGTAAAATTTATTTTCGAGAAATTCATGTACTTTAGTAATTTTTTGGGTAACTCAAGTACGAAATATTTTTAAAATGACCAATTTAATAATATTTTGAAATAATAAAATTATGGGTCCTCACATGATCACTTAGGGTTCTACCAGCTTCTGAACTCCCTTTCTCTCTTTCCATCATCAGTCTCATTTGTGCACTGATTTCTTGCTTCATTCCTGCCATTAATCCTTCCATTTTCTTATTGTTTTCCTCTAATTCCGCCCACAATTCATTGCGTATTTGTTTTTGTTGGTGGTGCGAAGATTGCAGACCTTCAAGCACCTCTTGAAGCTTGGAATCTTGTTTCTTGACCTGTTCTCCGCCATTACTTCCAGATCCAAGGATTCGACAAGCTCTGAAACCACTTGTCAGGATCCTATTTGCATAATCGAGGAATTTGGGGAAAAATCAAGCTCGGATGAGCTTAATGAGAAGAAATTGCAGAGGGGAGCGTGTGAAGAAGGAGAAAGAAAGAGAAGAGAGAGAGAGAGAGGAGGGGGAAAATTCAGTTAATATCTTTCTTACATGGATCCTTGGCCCAATCATATTTATACAAGTCGGATGAAATAACTTCCACGTAACTAATTCTGTTATGGAGCATGTGCTCCTACACCGACTCAACTAATTGGCTAAACGACATCGTCCCACTAAATGATTAGCTAAACGACACCATGTTACTTATTCTTATATGCTACTTAGTTGCATCAAAACGTCATCGTCACAGTGTTAATTCCTGCTACCCTGACACCCGACCATATACGGGGGTTAGCCTGCCTAGATAGGGTACAGATGCCTTATGTACGTTTGGCCTAGGCTTACTGGCGGAATGCCAGCCGCCCTTCATGTACGTTAACCCTCCTTTGAATAAAATTTTATTTCTTTAAAAAAAAAGAAGAAAAAAGATTATAATCATTAATCAAATGACAAGATCTAATCAATTTAATTTTAATTCTTTTGTACAACAAATATTAGCAATTATAAACTATGTTCCGAATAGTTTTAATTTTAAAGGATATGTTTAAACTTACAGTTTTAATTTTCAGAATTGTAGCATATCCTATTGCACAAGTTCATGGTAGAGTTCAAGGTCGCTCTGCCTCTTATTCCTAGTTTTCCAGCCGCAGTTTATTTAATGTATAGCTCTACTTCGAAGTGCCTTTAAGTCTAGTAATGATGAAAACCAAAAGTCTTCCGTCTCTTATTAATTTGATTGCCAAACTCTAACCTATATTATTCTTGGATTCGGTAAATATGGTCCAAGCTAGAAAGGTAATCAATTAATTAACCTGTGACAGCCCTACCTCCCCCTAAGGCGAACCAAAGGGTTCGGCGGACAACCTGCCCAACTCTCGCCAGGACTACTAAGCCGAACATACACACGCTAAAACGTTCCGAATAATATTACAGTGCTTAAACGATTCGACGACCGCGAATAACGAAGAACGAAAATGAAATTAAAAGTGAACAATGACTGCCACGTCACAATCCGGCCGGATTCCTGGCCAGATTGGAGGCAGTAGCAACCCAAAATTTTTTCAAACTCCCTTGCAAATCCGGCCAGATATCCGGCCAAGAACTGGCCGGATTCCATTGAACAGTTCCTCGCCATGTGGGATATACTCGGGAAGACCTGAAACGATATCTTCGTACTCGACGGGAAAGGAGTTTGAAATATGGAGAAGCAGGTAGCATGCTGAATTATTTTCAAGAGCAAACACTCGAGAATCCATCGTTTTTTCATGCCGTACAGTTGGACTATGAAGAGCAGATAACGAATATCTTTTGGGCTGATGCAGGAATGTTAATTGACTACAAATTTTTTTTGAGACGTAGTCACATTCGACACAACCTACAAAACAAATAAAGAATACCGGCCACTTGGAGTGTTTGTGGGTTTTAACCAACATAGGCAAATTGTGATATTCGGTGTTGCCCTTATGTATGATGAGACTATAGATTCTTTCAAGTGGGTGTTTGGTACATTTCTAGAAGCAATGTGCGGAAAGCGTCCAAGTACCATACTAACCGACCAAGATCATGCCATGGCAGCCGCTCTTTCAGTTGTTATGCCTGAAACATTTCACGGTCTATGTACGTTTCACATAAGGCATAATTTTATGAAACATCTTGGCAATCACTACAAGGAAAATAGTGATCTTCCATACATGTTTGGTGCATGCATGTATGAGTTTGAAGAAGTGGAACAATTCAATAGGGTGTGGGAGGCGATGGTGAAGAAACACAATCTTGAAAATAATGAATGGCTCTCCGGGTTGTATAGAATTCGTGATAAATGGGCAAGGTGCATGATGAAAGAAAGATGGACCGCGGGAATGCGAAGCACCCAACTTAGCGAAAGCCTAAATGCAGCAATTAAAAATCATTTGAAACTGGATCATGACCTTGTGCAGTTCTTTAGACATTTCAATCGGGTGGTTGATGAAAAGAGACATAATGAACTGATCGCAGAATATGAAATGAGGCAAAAGCTCCCCATGGTCGGGTTAAGGAAAACACCTATGCTTGTGCATGCATCAGAGACGTATTCACCAACCGTATTTGTTGCATTCCAAAATAAATATGGCGAGTCAACAGCTATGGTTATATTGAGACAACAAGATGCAGCGATGATTGTGGAGTTTGCGGTCATGAGGTATGATGGAGGACCTGAAAGAATAGTGGTATTCAATCGGAATGATCTAAGTGTACGTTGTAGTTGCAAAAAATACGAAAATGAAGGCATTTTATGTGGGCACGCGTTGAAGGTGTTTGATACTATGGGCATAAAAATAATTCCTCCTGAATACATTAAGAGGTGATGGACAAAAAGAGCTCGGGCTGGAGACTGTTTTGATTGGCGAAGACGGGAAGTTGTGGCTGATCCTAAAATAATGATTTCAACTCGTTATCGGGAGCTCGCTCCAGCCATGATTAAGGTCGCAACTCGAGCAGCAATGTCGGAGGACACCAGCAAAGTAACAATCACTGTCATATCCGATTTGGCAAAGAGAGTTGAGCTCCTCCTCTCAGAAAGCGAAGAGCAACCTTTGCAAAATCAAAAAAATCTGAATATGGAGGAACGGGATAAAATTGAAATTGTGAATGAAATGGGGGAGGCAGTAGTCGCAAGAGGCATTAAAAAACGAGGCGGTGGGAAGAAAAGTAGAGTGATGCGAAGTTGGGTCGATAAATTTGACAAAGTAAAAAGAAAATCTAGATTATCAAGGACTACACAGACTACGGTATGGATCAAATTTTGGTACTCGGGGAACATTTATGCTAAAACTAAGTTATTGTTATACTATTAACTAAAGTTTAGGTAAGATTCATTATGAAATAATATTATTGTCGGGTCAATACTGTAGGTCTCAGAATCGGAGCCGACATCGGTTTCATTTGAGGAATACATGTTTATGGGATGCCGTTCATCTACTGACTCTGTTTCGGTTAGTATAAAATGGACATGACTCTTGCTTTTATTTGGATGTTTCTAACAGCATAAATAGTTACATTGATGTTACATTGTGTGATAATGTTGTTACGGCCGTCATCCCTCCTGATATACGTATTTTGTTTGTCTTATACAATGATTTGGCCCATACGAAACTTGTAGACGCATTCAATGAGTCAGACAGTGAATGGCCCTCCAAATGCTGTTGCTCCCGATATCGATGAAAGTCAAACGGTATGCATACATTTAGTAGTTAAATTAAAACCTTCTTGTTCATGTAGTAGAGCTACCTTTTTTTCTTTAATTTAATGGTGGGCACCCGAAGGCTGTCAAATCATGCAAATTATGTAGTTAACGTATGCTCACTTTAATAACTTATTATTTTTTATTATTCCAAGGTCCACTGTTTGGCTAATCAGGGGCCTCCTGCAAGTGTCCCTACAGAATGGATGCATCCCAGATTTTCCATTTTTTCCAAGCATAACTCCGTCAGAAATGTCTTAATGGTCTGATATATCATTTTTGTTATAATGTCTAGTCCAATTTAACTTTACAAGTGAGTAATATAGGCACTGGTAATGATTTGTTGACAGTCGATTACTTATATTATATAATGTAGGAGGAGCGTGGGGCAATTTCAACACACTGTGATGTTGATGCATATCATGTATTTGCACCATCACCTCAGGTGACAAACTTTTATCGTTACAGCACATATTTATGTAATGTTATTAATTGGAGACTTGGACATCGTATATCATTAATCGTATCCATTTCATTAATAATATTTGCTGATTTACCATCGTTACGCATTTCAGGAAAGAAATAACACCCAGGGATTGCAACTTCGCGTTGACGTCGCCTCCCCCGAGAATGAGGTTGATGAATGATATGTAACTATATTTTTTGAACGAGACATTAAGTGGTTGTCCCAACTTGGGAATACTGCATATGTACGTTACAAGCAGTTAATAAGGTGTTACAACTTATTGACGAGGTTGTACGGGCACCATTGATATTTTACTCTTTTCAAATTTAAACAAGTGGATTACAATTGTAATCGCATCTAGTGGTAGTAATCATCAATAGTTTGTATTGGGTTATATAAAATTGTTAGGAAATTATAAAGTTGGTAGAAAATTGAAATAACAATTTTACAATAGAATTGAACGTGTTTTTTGTGATCGGATATTTTTCACTAAATCGATTATAACAGTTGAATGGCTGTCGTGATATGTATACCATTCTATTACATTCAATTGCATACCTTAATAACATATTTATTGGCATAGATCGCACCGCCAAAGGTACGATGTATAAGATAACACAGTCTAAAGTATAAATTGTCTTGATTTTGTTACGATGCTAAATTTGAATTATTATTGGGCTATTTTTATTAAAATATTATCATTTAGGCCATTTGTTTTGTATCGTTTGACGAATTTAGCGCACCATTGACATGATGTATCACAGGCACATCAATTGGTATTACAAGTTTTTAGGTTAATTGAATTATGGTCAAGCCAGGTCACGACCACATGTTGGTAATAGGTGCGCATAAGAAAATAATTCCTTGGAGAATTAATTTGTAACGTTAAAACGAAGTTGTACAATGTCACAAAAAGGATGAACGAACAGTACACAATGGATTACAACCAGTAAGGGATATGTTACTGTTGCGTTACAACTAGTTACGACTGTTTAACAGGCATGATTAATATCCAAATATGGTAAACAATTTGTTTGACTAGAGATTATAAAGAGTATAGTTTTATCGCTACCCTGATGAATATTGGATTACATCCCTTGTTATCAGTTGTATCCCATACAACACCTGGGAACACCGTCATGCATTAGACAGTGGGGTATGTACCTTTGAAAGTCATCGTCGCTTGATTCAGTAAAGTCAGATAGGTCCGGGTCCGATATAAGCATGGGATCTGCTAAAATGTGTTGATCGTCAAAATGTTTTCCAATACCATGTCTTTTTGCGGCCTGGATCTCGTGGAACCTGTGAAGCCTACGCTCCATCTGCATAACTTCTCGCTGTAGTCTATGTAATACGCTTGCATCATTGGTTTGTGGTCCTATAACAAGATCCGCTGACCTTGTTCTCGGGACGCGGATGCCATGCCAACGAAAAAATACCTCTAATTCCATTCTTCGCTCACGAACAGGCTCCCATATGGGTTCATGGTCCATAACGAAATAGCCAGACGGTAGATGATCGTTGACGGTATTTTTAAAATGTGACCAGCTAGTCCCAGAGAGTTGTTGGTGTTAAGTGGAGCGTTCCTGAACTTGCGTTTGGTACCATATAAAATCCTCCCATCTGGTGTTTCATACTTGCTTATGGCATTTGTTGGATCCAACGATACTTTCCGTCTTTTTTTCCGAACATTTGATGGTGAGCTTGTATGAGATCCTTCGTTTGTGGATTGCATGACTATGCTAATACCTACTGCTTTTTGGTTGGATGAAAGGAAGGATCTACTGATAAAGAATTAGGTGGAATAAAAAAAGAGGTAGAAATTTTTAACATAGCACCTATTTGAGACCATGCATAGTAAATGGTTTCTTCTGGAAACTTGACCAACTGCTTGCGATGTCATTTCATGTTGTTCTCCACGGGATAGTACTCCTGGGTGAGTACATGAAGGCATGGCAACCACCTATTAACGAGAGAATAGACTCAACGTTTAGTCAAATGTATAGTGTGTGGATGAAATAATGGTTTAATTTGATTGGATCATAACCTGTACTCCAACAACAATTGGGTCAGGTGAATACCCAATTATTCGTCAGTCACCTTACTTTTCAAGTGTAACAAGAAGTTGCCACCAGCATATGTACGTTACAGGACGTTAATAAGCTGTTACCGCTTATTGAAGTGCTTGTACAGGCACCTTGTCATTTGCCTATATGTTAAAATTTAGACAATTTGTTTACAATTGTATTTATGATGAGTATTACAGATAGTATTACAGGCATTTCAATAGGTATTACTCCTTCAGTACAGAAATGAACTTACAATTGGCGGCTTGGCTTGGTTCCACATGACCACATAATAAGTAACAGTTTCGCAGAAGAACATGATACTTCGTTGGGACACGTAATTTGAAAGTAGGGTAACTAATATTAAGATGCAACAAATTTTGGTTACTCCATGTACATGTTCAGTTACAACCAGTTATGTATTTGTTACAATTCATTACAACTAATGAATTTGCAATCGGCAGTTTTTCGTCTTATCTAGTTAAAACTACTGATATTACAACTAGAAATTCCCTGATATTACAACTAGTGATACTACAACTAGTTAATATCTGATGAACCTTTCCTCTTCTCTCGTCTGTGCAATTGCGCTTGGCACAAACAAAAAGTCCTCCCCTCTAACACATAAAATTTCTTAGACACTTTAGTAAGTGTCTATTGAGAACATAGAGATGGTCGATTCGAACCCCAAAACAATTGATGTAGCGAGGCCTTCTCGAACATCTCATTAAATTAGCGAGATCTTCTCGAACATCATGCAACCTACTGGCTGCTATTTGGCACCGAAGAGCTTGATTTCTGTGTGAACCCTCTATTGATGACACTGCAATTGAGGTTAGAGGAGGGTTGAAGAATACTAATAATAAATTTCATGCACGGGTTCATTGCCACCCAGACGGTAGAATGAAATAGAAAGTGTGAAGTTATTGAAAATGAAAAATGTTTGTGTAGTAGTGAAAGGTTGACGGAAAAATCTTTGTTGTTGAGGGATATACTACTGCAACCGCGCCCTTTTATAGTCCGCAGGACCCTCACAATGTAGTAAAATATCACTGGACAACGCATTCCAGACCAAACAATTTTGTCGTGGCAGTGGAAGCTGTAGAGTTCGATGCATGCCATTGAATTGTGTCAAATATGTTCACACATTAAAACAAATTATGCACCTGGCTCATGAAATGACCTATACACCAATATCAAGGGTCATGTGAATAAACAGTTACACATCAGTGACGTGTACGTTTCACTATGTACGGATTGCGTTACAACCGGTTAGGTGTATGTTACAATTTATTATAACTAATGAATTTGCAATCAGCAGCTTTTCCTCTGCTCTATTTAAAACTGAATAATATTCCAACTAGATATTCCCCGATATTACAACTAGTGATAATACAACTAGTTAATATTCGATGAACCTTTCCTTTTCTCTTGTTTGTGCTATTACCCGTGGCAGAAACGATAATTCCTCCCACTGACACATTAAATTTCTTAGACACTTTATTAAGTATGTATTGAGAATAGTTACGATGATCGTTTCGAACCCCAAAACATTGCGTAGCGAGACTTTCTCGAACATCTCATTAAAATAGTGAGATCTTCACGAACGCATATGAGGGCAACTAGTACATCACGGGAGAAGAGACTGTAGACCCACATGCAGTGCCTGAACCATGTCGGATAAGTTTTGTTACGTTTCCAGGCCAGAATTATTGTACCGACAGTGAATATACGTGTTACGTGCTGTTGCCAATCGTTTACAGACTTCAACACATGTTTGCAGCTTTTATCATGTTTTGGTCCTGTCCACCAACTTTTAAGAGTCACGTGGATACAGAGTTACACCTTAGATTCATGTACATTTCACTGTGTGCATGCACAGTTACACTGTCACAGGGAGGTATGACAGCCCAAATTATGCAACAGTTTTTTGGCCAAGAGTCAGATGTGTAACACTCTATGACCTTGGTCAGTGTATGACCCAAATTTACTACCTCTATGAGCGGTTCGTACCTCCTTCGAGCTCCAATGCTCTATAGGAGATTTCAAATTCGACCAGAAATTATATGTATGTTGTAACTCAGAACGAACAAAGAGGTAAATAATAACTTACGAATTGTAACAATATATGAACAGTTTGTCAATCGTATGGACAAAATTTGTTGAACTATATTTTTAGTATCGATACATAAAATAATAAGTGTTACGTCGTGTCACTAATCAGCATCAGAAAATAAAATACCAATTGGGCAATTTTTATCATGGTAAGACCTGTATTGCAACATTAAGGGTACCGATGTGAATACTGAGTTACACATTAGTGACCTTAATTTCGACACTGTGCATACACAGTAATACGCAAAATATTGTGCACAAAATCTCACAATGAATGTCAGTTTTTTGGCCCAGAGTCAGATGTGTAAAATTGAATGGCCTTGGTCATTCAATGACC